CGTTGGGCACTAACTGCCCCGGGCACATGGAGTGCTCGACTAATAGAGCAATGAAGAAGGGGTGAAGGGGCCACCTAAAGTCAGCCTTAAGGGTCTCCCTAAAAATAACAAACTCCCCTCGTCGTGCTCGAACAATCCTATCCTCGGGGCTAGGAAATCTAACATCGCAATTAGGCATTATACCGTATTCCCTAGCTGCAGCTATGGCTGAGTGCTCTTTAAGCCTGTAAGGTTCGTCGGGACACTCAAAAACCATATTAACCTGAGCCTCGGAAGTAGCCTCTAGGGGAATAGCCGTTGGTATTATCGAGGTCCCTACGTCCTCACTACTACTAGAACTACTAGAAGAATCTCGACCCTCACTACTCGACATCACTTAGCAAACTTAAGACCTAGCTTATGAATAACTTAAAGTCTCGAGCCTTACCTGGAGTTCCCGACGACTTGAGAAGTTCCCAAAGTGTTTCTCTCGAGCACGACCTCGCAGAACTCAGATTTACAGTGGGTAAAAGTGAAAAATAAAGGTGAGAAGAGCAGTATTTATAGGTGAAAACGATGGGAGGCCAAAGGTCGCTATCTACGACCGTCCACGAAGACATGTGTCACAAATCCAAGCCATTCTCTTCAACGGTCATATCTCGACCCCTATCATCAGCCATCACTTCTCGACGACGATTCGAGAAATGACATAACCCATGTGCACCCCATCCTAAGAGCTCGATCTCTAGGAGGAGTGCACGGGGGCCAGTGACGATGCCAATATTGATACACCCCGAGGAATACATCCCGAGGACTCCATATATACCCCATCTCATCTCTCTGCTATGGTCCTCGGGTCTCCCTAAGACCTTGAGGTATTTTTGTCCTCGAGATACCTCGAGGACATATTAACATCCTCTCAAGTCCTCGAGAATAGTCCTCGGGACATATACCACCAACATACCTTCTAAGACATGGGTATCTAACAAACAAACCTAAACACCCAAGGATTCTGTATCAACCCTTATACCACTTGTCAAACAATTCCATTACAAGTAGGGCACTCTTTATAAATAGAAATTTCCTTGGATAAAAACATCCAACCAGCACAATCCTACTAGGAGTACACTAGCTACCCCTATAAAAGCAGAACCTTGGGCCATTATTCAGGTACGTTTTTTCATTGTTCTTCAGCACATAGTCTCACGCACAAAATTCCCTTTCTGACTTAAGCATCGGAGGGGCGACGAGAACATACCTCGTTGCCTTTGTTTCAGGTACCGGAAGATCACGTTCGTGCTCCTCATCAGTTATCAAGCTCAGGAAATCTACAGGTACGATTTTTGGTAGCATCACCACCTATGCTTTAACTGTCCATTTGTCAACTTGCAAAGCTCGGGCTTGATTTTCATTTATCTAATGAAGGTCATAGTGGAATAAAAATTGAAGATGAGATGTGTTGTCTATAATTAACCATTTCAAATAACAAGTTGGTTTTGTTGATCAGGAAAACCTCGATGCGAATGGTATGTATATTTCTCAGATTTGAAATTGGTTCTAATGATTGATTTTTGATATAACATCAGTTACTTTTGCTATGCATCATTATAAGCAACCTCGCTACTTCGGTGGTCTACTAATGTCCCTTATTTTCGAAATGTTCCAAAATTTTGAGATTGATATTATAATTGTTTTTCTCATTTTAGTCATGAGTATTTTATTAAAATATGACGGAGTGTTCGAGTGTGCAGGTGATGTTTATGTGGAGGGAGGTGGCTAAGATTCTATTGATGCATTTTTTGACGTCGATAATATTTAAGATGTGTAATTGATTTTTTTAATATCACAATTTTATAATTAAATTGATAAACGAATTCATACCCAAGACTTCCTCGAATGAGTGGGCCGAGAAGATACAACTCTCAAAATTGCCTCCTACACCAACAGAGGACTATCAAGTACTTTTAACGACTGGGTAAGTAGTGAGAGTTTCAACCCTGATACGTAGTTCTACTAAAACATGTTGTTTGAGGCGAATTTGGGGGCTTTACCAAATTCTGAGGAAGGTCTACCATATAGGGATGTAAAAAAGTCAGCTCGCAAGCCGAAGATTATGGTTCAGGTGCAGCCTGAGCAAAAAATGATCGAGCTTTTTTGGGCATTGTCGATCCTAGCTGGCTTAATTTTTCAAGTCATGCAGGCAGCAGGCCGCATGTTGTGGCCTGCTACCTTGCAACTACCTGAAGCAATAGCAAGCCGCGTCACGGGCCAGCTTGCTCAAAAATGAGGCGTGATCTAAGCTTTGGCTTGGTTGACGCGAGCTGCACCGTCTTTGACTTTTTACTAGCCGAGCTACGGCCGCTCCTAGTCGATGAGCATGATTGATATTCCCAAGCTCATGGCCTCCAAGAAAAGTCTAGAAAATTTCTTCCCCAACCGTGGAACGTGGACAACCTCAAGAGTCGAGATTTATTACAAATAGGTCAAACCCAAGACTCGTCACACCCCTTCCCTCCGTACTAATGTCTAGTTTTTCTTCTCATTTTGTTAGGGCGTGCACCCCTATTCTTTCCCTTTCCATTTTGGTTTTAGCATTCAAGTAATAATGCATTTCACCTCTTGGCCTCTTGTTAATTAAAAAAAATGAGCTTGAGCACGACCTAGGCATTTTCCTCTTTCATTATTGAGCCATGCAAATCGCTTTATAAAGCACCCGTTCCTTATAGCAGGCCACTGATACTAGGGCTCGATCTCCATAGTTGTGCAAATCGGCAAGACCTTTGATAAAGCACGAACAGGTCGAGCACACTAAGGCTTGGTGATGTCACAAACTTGGTCGAGATACAACACATGATGACCCGGCACGTGAAAGCCTGGCCACTGAACAGCTACATCCTAAAAGTTGTGATTAGATAATTCAATAACGTTCACAAGGACAAAGTAAGGATACAAAAAAATTAAAAAAATTATTCCAGAACTTGTTAGCCCGAGAGTATTCATACAAGCATGATTAATAAACAATCCTAGGCATAAAAAAGCCCGAGCATTGTCACATTACAAAAGTCATATTCGGGCATCAACCAGCCCTTACCTACTAGTCAAAAATGAATTCAACGAGAATCTCTGAAGACGCTTTAAGGGACTGCTCGTCGTCTGAGGTCTCCATATCAACTGCCTCACTTGTATCCTCGACCTAGTCCTCTATATCCTTGTCATCCTTGATAAATGTAATTTTGCACACTTAAGTAGGTCATTAAATTGGAGTATTTGTTATTAATTTTAATGAATTTTAGTTTAATTTTGTGTTAATCTTGTTTGTTAGGTAAAACTCGATGTAAAATGGTGGAATTAAAAAAAAAAAAAAAAAGAGCAACGAAAAAGGGACAAAATAGTGACTTCCAAAGCTTGAAAACTAAAGTTCAATAATTCAAAAATTGATTTGAATCGCTTATCATATGATTGAAGAATGATATGAGCCAATTGGATGCAAATGGAAGGTGGATTGAAAAGGAACGAATAAGTACCAAAGTTCACACCCGAGAAAGTTCCGGGGCCAAATTTACATCTATATCACGCGCACGAATGGGTCTGCAAGCATTATGTTCAAAAGGCAATTGGCCTTACGTTGCGCATGCTAGTCTTTATGGCATGAATTTCTAGCCCCCTATTTAACCTAATTGAGGCAGTCAAGGACGAGATCTATTATATTCTAACACCAAGAAGAAGTCTAGCATGATATTTAAAGGGAATAATATCAAGAATTGAAAACTCAAATCTCAGGATCCAAGATCAAGACTAAGAAAGTGATTTTTCATCAAGCTTCCTATATTGTTCTATTTTCGGGTGATATATTTTCAATATTCTTTATGTAATTTATATCAAAATATGCTAGGCTAATTTCTCACTTATATTGGACGGAAATGAACCATTTTTTTGTTTATTATCGATTCAAAGATAAGTAGTTTAGTAATTTTTGTGTTTCTTGGTTAATCACACATGCTTTGTTAAATTATTTATATACTTGTGCACTATTTAGATAATTAGTTGCTTATTGTAGTGCTGAAAGGCTTATAGTAAATTTTGAACATTGCATGATTAACAACGGGCAATAGATATTTGGTGTGTGCAATCTTCTTTATAATTTTGTGCTTGAATGCGTGCCATGCATATGAATTTGGATTAGAAATAGAATCCGATTACATTTAGAATACAAATAACTTACCTTAAAAAAAGTTAAAATGCAATACGATTATTAATTGTCATGAATGCAGGAATAACTCTAAACTACATACTTGAAAATTGAAAATAGAATAACAATAAACAAATTCGTGAATTCAATACAATCATCCACTCATTCATACATACAAATCAAGGTTTTAGATAAATCGTAGAATAACTCAGAATAATTATGCAAACAAACTCTTTTGTGTTACAACAATTTGAATTTGATAGAAGACAAGTATACTTTAATTAGAATTTATTCCTCAACTCATCACGTGTTATCAACAATTCCGTACGCTTTCAGAATTTATTCAAACAGTCCTCGCTCTCCTTGGAAGCATTTGGAGTGGCGTAATTAGTGAAGTAGTGGCCTTCGGTTGCATTAGGGAAGTTCATGAAGATAGAGGTGTCCAGGTCTGGTTAAGCCAGGAACGAGCTTGTTTCAGCCCTTGTCCTGGCCCTTTCTTCCTCTCCCTTACACTGGCCTTTCGCCTCGGCGTCTCCGATCTCTCATTCCTCCCTTCACTATTATAGAAGGCTTCGGGTACTCTATCTCTCCATGTCTCAATCCCCTTCCCCGAGCCATACCCTTTATGCTAATATAAACGAAAGCTAGCAATAAAATAAGGAGAAGACCAACGTCGTACTTCTAAATAGGCGAAAAGTGAAAATGACGTAGTTAGCGCATGGAGAATGTACATGGAAAACATCTATTTTAATGATGCCTTAACTCCTCCTATGTACCTGGAAAACATCATTTTGTGCGTAGAGTATATTATGAACTATTAAATAATAGACAATAAAAGCAAATAAGATTTTAGACAAAAAGTGACAATCTACATCGTCAACAACATATATTTGACAACTAGATGAACAAAACATAACACAACTTCCATTCTATAGTACATCAATAAAAACTGGAGCAGAAATGTATGGACAAATTACATGCAAAATATTCATGGCTTCATTCACTAAACTCCCACAAGTGCATATGATGGAAATTTGATCAAACTTTTTAACTGATTTCGGCCTTCACCATTTTCGAGAAAACCTTACTCATTGGAACATTCTCAAGGTCGCCTAAACTTCCCATGCTGTATTGTGCAATGGACACACTCTGCTCCACTTCATTCCTTTCCTTTAGTCTCTGATGATTTTCCAGAATCTGAAGGGCATTTTCCAAATTCCACAATACGTCTCCCATTGATGGTCTGTCACCAACCTGCTCGGCCAAGCATTTCTCAGCCGTCTCCCCAAATTTTTGCATCGACTCCTGTTCAATTTCATCGACAAGATGAGGGTCTAAAATTTTGTCCAACCTTCCTCGGCTTAGCCATTTCAGTGCCCATTCAATTAAATTTACCATTTCCCTTGGAAGTGATGGATCAATAACTGGCCTCCCACAGATGACTTCGAGCATAACTACACCAAAAGAGTAGACATCAGATTTCTCAGTGAGCTTTCGTGTTGCCAAATATTCAGGATCGAGATAACCAAAACTTCCTTTTACTGCTGTACTAACATGTGTTTGGTCTATCTCCGGACCAGTTTTTGAAATTCCGAAATCACCAACTTTGGCCTTCATATTCTCGTCAAGAAGTATATTTGCAGACTTCACATCGCGATGAATGATCGCGTTAGCAGAACCTGTATGCAAATAGTGAATCCCTCTTGCTGATCCAATGCAGATTTCAAGCCTCTGTTTCCAATTCAATTTTGGAAGATTTGTTCCATAAAGATGATCCCTAAGGGTACCATTCTCCATGTACTCATAGATTATGATCATTTCATCCTTCTCGTCACAGTATCCTATTAAAGAAACTAAATGGCGATGACGAAATTGAGATAACATTTCGATTTCATTCCTAAAATCTTTATGGCCCTGCTGAGATTGACAAATTCCTCTCTTCACTGCAAACGTTGTGTTATCCTTCAAAGATCCCTTGTAGACTTTCCCAAAACCTCCAATACCAATAAGCAGATTTTCACTAAAATTATCTGTTGCTTCTTGAACTGCCATGAGAGGGAACCGGTAACCTATTTGGGGATATTTACTATTCTCAGAACTTTCTTGATTCATTATGATAGAATGGTCCTCTCCTGAGTGAACGGCGTTGTCCCTTCTTCTTCGTCTGATCATCACAACCAAAAGAAATGCCAAAACAATGAAAATCAACAATGATCCAATAGCCAACCCCACAATCAACCACACTTTAGTCTTGGAAGCCGGTTTAGTCGTCTGGGCCTCAGCATCTGCAGGATCAAGACTGCCCTTAGAATTGCTTATCTTCATGATCTCGAGTCCATTAAGAATTCCATCAGGATATGCATTTTTCACAGATGAACTACCAATACTTACGCTAAGATTGTGTATATCGTTTATTCTAGTGATGACATCCACATAATATGGAGCTCCCAAAACATTTGATGTCTTACTGCTGAGATCTAGATCTCTAAGAGCCACTCCAGAATTGAGAAAAACATTGAAGATAAGAGGACCAGGACTACGGTTTGCTATATCGCAAAAATGAAACCGGATAACATAATCAAAACCATTATCAACACCAAATGACCAAGTTACATTAATTATAGTGTTCGGATCAGGCTGTGAATGCAGCTTAGTGGCAGTACCATAGACAGAACGAGGAGCAATAAATTCACTATATCCCCTCGTCTCATTTACAGCCTGAACATTTGACACGAACTCAACAAGATTACTATTGATCAAACGCTCTCTATCAGACAGCCAATAACGCGATAATTTATCATTCCGAGGGAACACAGTCTCATTCCCCATATTCACTCTCCAAACTGTTTCTAGTGCTTGTGCCTCCACACTGGTATAAGGCTGTTGAGAATTTACAGCAGGAGTGCCATCCGGGATAACCTGACCGGGAAGTGAAATGATTTCCAAAGCATTTAAAAATGCAAATGAACCGGGAGAAGGAGTAAAGGTAAGGACTAGATTATCAGTAGTTACATTGACGGAGTATTCCTTGACAACCGGACCATGTGGTGGTCGAAAGCTCTTTAAAAGAATAAATTTTTGAGCAGAAACAGAAAATTTAGCACTTGAAAGATCAAACGTTTCACTGACAAAAGAAAAAAAGTGCAAACGAATCAAGTGCCAATCCCTTTGCTTCATTGGAAAGCTGTAATTTGAGGAACCATTCAAAATTCTGGCAGTTTTGTACAGAGATGAATTATAAATGGATGAAGGAGAATCTGAAGTTTTGACAAAAATGATTTCTGGGGTTGACAGAATGCTAGAATTCAAGTTATCAGCCAAGAAAGGCCGATCATCTACTCGTGTATTTTCTGTCGACCCACAGTCTATTAGATAGTTATCTGGAGGATCAAATTCTTGACAAGTGCATTTCAGAATAGAAATGAACAACAGAAATGTATGGATTTTCATACTGACATTAAACTCGAAAACAGTTTCTCAGAAGTAAGATATTAAGTGAAAGAAAGGATAGGTTTAGTCCAAGGCACTCAAAGAACGTATAAGTTTAGGATCAACTTAAGATGAACCCATTTATGAAGCTGGAATACATATGGCTATAGCCCACACGTGAGGGGACATTTAAGAGCTTAATCTTTCAAACGAAGAGGAACTAACTGGGAATTTTCCTCTTTCTTGTTTCATTTGTGCACTTCATTGTACAAACTCACATCTTTCATGTGGGACTACAAGACAGACATTATCATAGGTACAACATAATTGAAGACCTCATAAAATTACAAAAAGACTGACAAAAATACAGGTAGGCTGATAGACGAAGGTTCCTAGATATTGCAAAGTCTATAAAAAGAACAAATTGAAGCAAGATATCATTAAAAAATAGCCAACCAAACACGAGATAGCAAGAAAAAGAAAAACATTGCACTGTCATTGTCTGAAACTATCCTAAAACGCGTTTTTCTTCAGCCACCCCATGAATAGCGCAAAAAAGTATGAAAGTTGAATTCAAGATATTGGTTAGTAATATTTTATTCATATATGGCCAACAATATGACATAACCTTTGGCTTTGTCTAAAGCAATTCTTTCAAGAAAGTTGATTTTGTTCAAGAATATGCTGTTAAAAAATAAAAATAATAATAAAAAAGCATGAAAAATAATCTTTTAAGTGTGGAAAAAAGTTGATTTTCTAATAATCACTTTCAAACAAGGACTTTATGTGATGGGAAACAAGACTTTTCTGGGCATGATGGCCTAAAATGTTTGGTCGTAATAAAAGTTAGTCAACTTATTTTTTCCTAACCAATGTTTATTTAAAATATAGCAAGTAGATTATTAAAAAATCATTATTCCCTAACAACTATTGTATCTTTATTTTGAACGAATAAAAAATCGAAAATAAAAACGTTTACTAACCATGTTTTAGGTTTGTAATTTATGCGCCCCCCCCCCCAACACCCACCCAATGTTTTTAGTTTAAAGAAAACTTCTTTTTTTTTTTTCCATATCTATTTGAGCAAAGTTACTAATCTCTATAGTATTATTACCATAATTTTATTATAATCTATTTTCGAACTTCCATAATTTTTCTTCATATTTTTATGTCCTTTTCAAATATTTACAAATTTAATGAACTATAATCCAATTCTTAAAAATAAAAAAAATAAAAAAATAATATATATTCTCTGATTGGAAACAATTTGATTTTATATAAATACAATTACACTTTTGTTAAACTAAATGAGCAAAAGAATGAGTGTCAGTATAATAGTAAAATATTTCTAATACATGATAGTTTAATTTACTAAAAATAAAACATGGGAAACTATTTTTATTGAAGGAACGGACTATTATTTATTATAGAGTGTTTGTGTTTCATATAATTATTATTTCTTCAAAAACTCTTTAAATATAAGATATTTTTTAGTTTAGAAATGCAATGTTAAAAAAAAAAATTATTTTCACTTATTAATAGCATCTTTAAGAGACTCCATATTTATAAAGGGAATTTTATGTATAATAGAGAGTATTTAAAGAATATTGATTCTCATCGTCTTTTATTTGAGTAACTTTTTATTTGTCGATTGTCAATCAATTCAAATGTGATTTGAATAATTTTAGAAACAGAGTATAGAATTAGTTTATTAAATGCATTTATCATAAATTAAGAGCATCTCCAGAACGTTCTTTAAAAGAGAAATACTCTTATTTTTAAAAAGTGAAACCTTAAAATTATGCTAAAAATAAACTCTTTATTTTAATTAATTAAGGTAAAGAGTGAATTTAACTCTCTATATTTCAAAAGCCAAACACGATCTATTTGTATTTTATCAATATTGCATTTAATAACATTGCAAGTTTCAATTCTTCACTTTTTAAATTATTAGTGTTATATAAAATATTTTAATTATTGACATCTAAAAATATATATGTATTTTCCAATGTTAATTGAAAAATGAGGAAAAAACAATAATTGTATGTAGGGAAAATTAAAATAAAGAGCAAAAATAAAGAGTTTGCTAAAATATATAAAACATTGCACTTTTAAAATAAAAATGCTCTTGATTATGGCTAAGATACTCTTAAAAATAAGAGTAATGTTATTTAACTCCATCAAGGTTATTACCCTCGTTTATGTGGTAATAATGTGACATTAAATGATAAGTACAATTAATGAGTTTTTTTAATTCTACTTTCATTTACTCTTTGGAATAAGCCATTTGTACAATGGATTTGTACAACATGCTTGACAACGGTGTAAATGTCAAAAAAGTGTTGACGAGAAAGATAAAATATTTATCAAACTGTCCAATGATAATCTGTCACGTAGCATGTTGTCAAACTTATTGTAAAAATTATTGTACAACAAGCATGATTAAAAATCTTTTACCTGACACTGTATAAATTGAGTATAACTCTTGTAAGGTTAAATAGCATTATTTAAAAAAAGAAAAAAAAAAGAATCTCTTGAAAATATTCTTAAAAATAAAGTGTTTATTGACGTGCACTATTGATGAAAATTGCAAAGGGAGTCTCCAACCTATGGGTAGAGGTGTAAAAGTCAAAGGGTGATCAATTCTTTGAAGTAGTTTTGAAAAATTAGAACGTGCTCTTTCTTTTGTAAAAAAATAATACAGAACAATTCAAGTGGATGACTGCTTAATACTCTTTAGAGATTGAATGTTTTATTAATCACTAAGAACGTAAATGTCAAACATTAGTTATATGGTTTAAGTTGCATAAAATTATGTCAATATCTCTTGAATATAATATGGCAGACAGAGTAGAACTAGAATCCCAAAAACTCACCAACCAAATGTCGTCGATGATAGTAGTAATTGGGACTTAATTGTCCAACGTGAATATTAATTTTTTGTGTATATATTATAATTGTTGTATTTGATACGATAGGATCAGGTCTCCTCTTCATCGAGGCTCTTCATTGTTCCTCTTTAGGTCATGCCATGTCAACTTAGCCGAAATTGCTATTTTTGAATGGGGAAAAAAGTATAGGGGAGATGACGTACGGACCGCATATGAAAAAAAATCCCTAGGCACCACTCTCATTCTGAAAATATATATGTATGAGCACCACACTGATCACATCCATTATTACCAACACAAGAATCTTACACTTTAGCAGACTACACGAGACATTTCTTCAAATGATCACTAATTATGTTGTCCACATGGGGATGTAAACGAGTTGGGCCAAGCCAGCTCGCGAGCCTAAAGTTTCGGCTCGGGCTTGGGCCGGTTAAATTGGCGAAGCTTTTTTGCGGGCTCGAGCCGGGCCGAGCTTAAATAGGAGGCTCGGGCTTTTTCCTTTCCGGGCCGAGCCAGACAGGCTTGTTTTCTCCCTTTTTTTTTTTTTTTTTAAAGCTCGTGAGCTCACGGGCCGGCTCGTGCAAAGCCCGTGTCTCGAAAATGGGGCTCGAGTCTACCGAGCCCCAAGCCGAGTCACAGGAGGCTCGAGCCAGCAAGCCCGATTGCCATCCCTATGTCCACATCATTTCTTAGCTTGTCCTTCCACTCCCTAACAACTTCATCGTAATCCTCATGTTGGGATGTAATAGGAGTACGTAGATATATAATGTAGATTACAAAGATTACTACAACTACAATGTGGGATAATAGCCCTCCAAAGTCATGAAAAAACGGACCCAAAATTTTTTCAACACCCCCACCAATAGAGACTTTGATGTTGACCTCGGATTTGTATCACACCGGATCAAAGCATCAATGTCCAAGGCGATGGCAATGGATTAACAAAGAAACTCACCGGAGATAACCAAGAATTTTCACCGGAGAACAAAGTCTCTCACACTTAGTTACTCTCTCTATTTGTCTTATTTTGCCAACTCCAAATGAACCAAGAGAGGATATTTTCAATTATACGGTCAAAATATTTGAATTCAAAATTCAAACCATTGTACTAGTGAGAGAGACATGAACTAGATGAGAGAAAGTGACCATAAGTTCAAATTCAGCTATTAGATTTAATCTATGGTCCACAATTCTTTCAAACTAGCACAATCCTCACCAAATTCTCTAATCCAATGATCATGTGTCATGTGGATTTAAGTGATCCAATCTCGCACGGAGGATGCGAACTAGACAATGGCTAGCTTTCAAGGATATATTTATCTTCAACAATTTCTGGTCCTTCACGACTTACCTCAAACTCTTCATATGTTCCAATTCAAACTCTTCCACAACTAGCTCAATGTTTGAATAGACAATGTATTTATAGTTGAGTATTTCGATCGGCCCCATCTTCTAATTCGACAAACCTAAAGTTTTGTGGTTCATTATGTGGACATGATCGAAGAACTCGTGGAGGTGGAACTAGATACATTTCACATGACCTTAGATTTGCTTAGGTCTACAAGGCACAAGCAATCCTAACACATGATTTTCGTCACTTATCAGCATTATTAACCTAATACTTGAAAGACTTTCTTGGCTTCTATACACAAAACCAAGCAGAATAATAAATTTCAAATTTTTAACAAGCACCTTTAAGTCTAACTCAAACCTAGAAAAAAATGTCAAAGTAATCGATGTAATATAGCTTCCCATATAAATAAACCACGTTTGTCATTCTAACAAAAAACGCATCACTATTAATGCACTTTATAGTGAAAGATGTCGGCTCTTTGGCTAAACAATTTTTTTTTTTTTTTTTACAAGAACAATAAAATAAAAGAAGGTAACACCATAAAGTTACAGGAATTTAAAAACAAAACGTAAACGAACAATATTGTAATGGTTCTTCATTGTCGCCACGTAATTCATTCATTTTTCTTGATGAAAAATTTCACAGAAGTTGAAACATATTTACGAATTATGAGGATCGTGTACAATTTAATCTTGGTGTAAATCCAACAGCCTTGAAGGGATATTAAGGAGCAACAAGATTTTGCAATGAGGGGTTTATGAATGGACACATGACAAAATAAGGTTCGATTTATTTGAATGACAAACAAAACGTCTTTTCTTAGAATAGAAGCTTCTAATGTTTTAGTGAGTTTTCCATTTTGACATCAATTAAAAAGTCACATGAAAGTCATCTGTTAGATGGTCAAAACAAACATTATTTGTCATCTGGGATGAATTCTACAAATTCCTGAAACATTAGGGGATGAGTGGAACCAAAAATTCAAAGGTAGGGAGGGATAAATCCACGGCACTATTGAAATGTTGAAAATAAAAACTGCTAGCCTGCTACTGAGCACATGAAGGAAGGGTTATCTAATTAAAAAGTTATTTTTCCATTTTATTA